GACTGGGTTATCCGTCCAAATCTGCCCTAAAATCCCACCACCACCCCCCCACCTTAAAACCCAGTACACATGACTGAGCCCCATAGAAACACACAGGTACTCTGCCATCTAATTGGACTACTGTGGAGTAGTGCTCACACTCAAGCTCTCTCTCTCTCACACACACACACACACACACACACACACACACACACACACACACACACACACACACACACACACACACACACACACACACACACACACACACACACACACACACACACACACACACACACACACACACACACACACACAGGCCTGACCCCCTGTAACTGCACTAATACCCCATCCCATGGCCTTTGGTCTATCTTGAGGGATTAGGTGCAGAAAGACACACATACAAGCACAGATACAGCCACACACACATTAACACACAGTCACACACACACACTTATGAGCGCAGCAGGCCTGGCTGAGGGTCTACCTTGAGGGATTAGGTGCAGAGAGACAGGACCCTCCAGCCAATCAACCGGTCTGTCACATTGATTTTGAGGGGTCACTGGTGCACAATGGCCAGGGTTTTCCTGTCTTAACCTCTCTGATCACACACTCTCACACACACACACACACACACACACACACCACACACACACACACACACACACACACCACACACACACACACACACACACACACACACACACACACACACACACACACACACACACACACACACACACACACACACACACACACACACACACGATAACAATGAACTTTATTTATATCATTTACGTAAAAAGCAGAGCTAAATAACAGCCTTATGACTGGGTCAAATGCAAGACTTGTAAACAACTAATGGTAAAAATAGACGGCATGAGAACAAAAAACATTGGGACATAGTGTAACAAATAAGTCCTATAGGAATAAAAGTGTGGTATTTAAAAGATAATTAAATCTATAAAGTCTATAAAAGTTACATTTTAAGATGCGTAATTTCAGTATTGTATCGAAATAATGTACACATTTTACAGAAATGACTTGACAAAGTGTCCACAAACACACACATATATGCAAACACATTCGCACATCTGGTAACAACAAAGTTTATATCCTGTAAAGAGTGGAGCTCTTATTCCTGCACAAGGTCCCAACTTGATTTAATTCCTGATTCGATATCGATTAATTTAGGGATACTTAAGTTACAATACCAATTCTGCTTTAATATGATTAGGATTCTCAGGGATGTTTTTTCATTAAAGGCTTTATATGTGATTTTCTGATCCAGCAGATGTCGCCCTTGAGCACCAGCATGAAACCAAAACAACTCGCGCTGCATTGTTGTGTTAGCATGCTAATGCTAGTGATCTTTATTATGCTCGTATCTTCACACTGCATGTAAATTTACCTGAAATGAGCGTGATCTAGAAACACAGTTAAGCAGTGAGTACAGTATGTTATTCTTCTTTTCTCTAGTCCCTCAATTAAACAACTTTTATATGTGAGGGGAGGAGTCAGCCGGCTGTCCTGGCGATGTAAACAAAGTGAAGATAGGACTCTGAAAACTCTGAAAACATCACAGACAGTGGGACTCGGGTGTTACACCCATTGTAGACAGTCATGACTCACAGAGTTATTTTCAGAGGATATACTTGATTTATATTTAAGTGTGAAAAGTCACATATAAAGCCTTTAAATAGGTTGAGTTATCGAAAAAGTTATGGTTAACATTAAAAATTGACCCCAAAGCAGTTCCATGAGTGTACTTTGTATTTAGTTGCCTCTGACAACAGTTCAGCATTGGCTTGTGGCTTGTTTGAATTATGTCTTGTCTGTAAAACACAACATTAATCTCCACTCAATGTCGATACAGTGAGAACAGTCACATATTAATTTGTTGCTCTGGTTTGTCCAGCTGTCACAGGTTAGGGCGACTTTCTCTGCCAGCTTTAAGTGAAGTTGTAAGGCTGTGTGTGTGACCTCTGTTTTGGTGTGGCCTCTTCACCCAAATGTTTGCTTGTTGGTTACATGTAGCATGGCTCAAGTATATCAACCCTCTGAGGTCGACGTTATCATAAACGACATAAAGAATGTTGTCTTCACACTATAATATAATTTATTTAAAAAACTAGAAACTTACTATTCTTTCCGATGATAAACTCTGTGTCCCTGCAACATCCAGAGGCTTTTCTATCCCACTGAGAAGATCCGTGAATATTAAGTGACTGTCCGGGTCTAATTCTACCAAATATGAACATAACCCGTGATGTTTTATGTATTAATTCGAGTGAAATAATGTAACTTCAGTTAGCACGCTCTGCTAACGCGGACGCAGCCATCTTGTTTTTCGCGTTTATGTCGGTCGACCAATCAGAGGCCGAATCTGCGACCAACTGACATGTAAGGGCCAATGAGATGCTAGCGCAGTCTGAAACAGACGCCGCAACTTGATTACGTCACATAGGCCTATATACAAACTTTTTTTTACAACTTTATTGTAATATAGACAATAGGTTGGTAGATTTACGAACAAACATGCCAGGGGTTGACAAAGACTAAGATAAAGTGAAAGGAAGGATAAAAATCTATACATCATCAGTTTATCAAATTAAAGTGATCACAAATTTTAAGGACCTTCGGGTTCTCAGTGTTGAATGATTTTTTATGCAGTTCATGAGAATATAGTTTGAATGTCGGTTTTCCTCCTATTAAAAGATTGATCTGTGGATTGTATGAATCTATATCAGTTCATTCAAATGAAAACAAATTCAAACCCATTTATGAAGATGTGTAAACAATTAAAAGTAAAAATGGACATTATGGGAACACACAAGACTTAAAATGTTTGACAAAAATAAATCCTTTAAAGATACAAACATATGGGCTAAAATCTACCACTTATTCAGGTCTGTAAAGTGTGTTCTTGAATATTGAAAGAATGTAAAAAAAATCCTTTAAAAATTTGCAACAAAGGCACACACATGTTGACACAATTCCGAAACCCCTAGTCCTCTCAAATCTCCATCACATCCCTCCTTCTCTAAATCCTTCATCCCCATGGGGAAAGCACACCCGGCTGGGGGGAAATCTCCCATTACTCCCACCTCTAGCATCCAGCCCCCTTGCTCCTTCTTCTCTTTCCTGGTCAAAGAAAACAATAGTTGTCCATCACAGAGGGCACTAGGCAGGGGGTTTTCATGACGGAAATAATCCTAGCTATACTGCCAGCAACATTTTCAGGTGCTCGACCTGGTTACTTTCTCTGACGTCATTGTGCGCATTATGCCCATGCTGTTTTAGTCTTTGTTGTTCCCCCCCTCACACCTTTAGCCCTTGCATCCCTCTTTGCCTGTTTCCCTTTCCTGGAGGGAATCTCTGAGGCATCTGGAAAAACAGGATTCATGCATGTCTGTTGTTATTGTTATAACAGAGCAGGCAAGCGATGGAAAGCTAGTCAGGTCCCATAGAGTAAAAGTTGCAATACAACAATGTAATACTTAATGATTGAAGAAGTCTTTCAATTACAATCCTGAAGCAAATGTATGGAGTGTTAGTTTCAAAATCTAACAACATTAAGAACAAATTCATCAGAATAAAAAAAGGCCAATGTGATTGACAAATTATGAGACTGTCCGCTTATCCTCTCCCTTTTAGTAACTTGATTATTTACAACTTTACTGTTTAGATTAGGCTAATATTATCCCTTGATTGAACTGACAACAAATCACAGACATCTGAAACATGACCTTGTCCTACAGGTGTAGACTGTTTGAAAGGGGTCAATCGACAGAAGCATCAGAGACTTAAAAAATCTTTATTAGTCAATTTTTATTTGACTATTTAACACTTTTTTATGATAAATTAAAGTCTGAAGAGAAACTTGTAGCCACAGCTGCCAAAAAAATAATAACACAGTAGGCCTACAGTAAAAAGTGAAAAAATGTCCTGCAGGAATGTAGTGGATGATACGTTTTAAAAAAATAAAGGGAAAACAAAAGTAAATTAGATCAATCAATCAAACGTTATTTATATAGCACCTTTCAGACAAATTAAATTGCAGTTCAAAGTGCTTTACAAGAGTGCAGAAAAGTTATTGACAAAAAAGTAGTTGATAAAATCATTGATAAAATCATTGAGAGACTAATGCACACCAATAAGAATTAAAAAATATATGTATAAATGAAAAAATAAAATAAGACACATAAAAGCAATAAGATATTAAAATTAATACATAGGAGAAGAATATTTAAAAATGTAGTAGGATAAAAAAGACAATAGAATAATGTTAAGATTTGAATTTAAGCCAGACTGAATAAATGAGTTTTAAGACTGCGTTTAAAAGTCTCAATATTCTGGGCTCCTCTCAGACCTTCAGGAAGGTTGTTCCACAATCTCGGAGCGTAACAGCTGAAGGCAGCATCATCAAATGTTTTTGTCCTGCTCTGTGGAACAACTAAAAGAGAGGAACTGGAGGGTCTGATGGGCCGTCCTGGTTCATAAACTAAAATCATATCTGATAGGTAGTAGTCTGGTGCAAGGCCATGTAATGCTTTTTAGATGACAAAAACATTTTCCTATGGGGTGATAAAGCTCTTGATGTGATTTAATTTGGTTAAGAAAGAGGGATTTATTTCAGGTATTTCTTAACCTCCACGTTCACCCTATATGGCAGCGGTTCTCATCTGGTGGGTCAGGACCCAAAAGTGGGTCGTGGAGTCATTTTCAGTGTGTCAAATAGTCTCAAAATCACTTTTAAAACATTTTTGTTTTGCTTCATCTGTTAGTTCTGTTCCATCTGGGGTACAATCAGCACACTTTTTCATAAAACAAATCTCATTGGTCGAAAAATATCAATAACTTGGGTCGTGATTTCTTATTAAGGAGTGGGGTCCTGAGGCTAGACCAATTGAGAAACCCTATGGAACCAAATGCATTACAATGTGAACACTAGTGGGCGCTCATGTATTTCCACAGTGATGAAACCTGCAGGCGGTGTTGTCTTCTCTGACCTCATCGACTGTAATCTCTACTTCCTGGATACGCGCTCAGAAAAACAGTCAGGTTGGATTTGTAGTTATCATATTAAAGTGAGTTTCCACCAACTTGTAGCTAACACAAACAGTAAGGCGTCATTTTCTAAATATAAATAACATCTTAATGCCACGAAATCACCGATGATAACGTAGACGGGCGAGTGAGGCGGTGGGCGCAGAAAGTTGCAGAGGAAGGTGAGTTAATTAAAGTAACAACGATAGTGTTTGTTTGCTTTACTTTTAACCTCCTGTTACTTTTTATTTTAATATATTTTGTTTTAAGGTTAGGCTTTGTTGGGAGTTTTCATTAACAAGGTGAGGTGTAATTGTGTCAAATGCAAACTAAGTTGTGTCTGTGTTTTCTCCCAGAGCGCCACGTCACTTAAAAAAAGCGAGAGAGAAAAACACACACCCGGAAACAGCTGCGACCACCGGGCTCTGTGACAGCCTCTTAACGGAGAAGGACCAGTGAATACACAGGTCAAAATGACGGCGTCCAACTGGGGTCTCATCATGAATGTGGTGAACAGCATCGTGGGAGTCAGTGTGCTCACCATGCCCTTCTGCTTCAAACAGGTGCGTCACTTGAAGCTGCACGCGCACGTGTGTGTGGATGTGCAGGTGTTGAGATAAAATCCATCCCAGAAACACGAGCCTTTGGTTTTTTTATAAACATATTTTTATTGAATTTCACATTTATCAGGACATGTACAATATATGTATACACATGTAACAAAAGTATGACATAAAACAACCCTCCCAAAAATAGAACATGAGACAGTACATCAATAACACAAGAATGATAAAAGGAATTAGTACAATATAAGTGAAATAATAAACATAAACAGTCACATTTGACACATATTTCTCATACTGGTAACAGTTCACAATCATGCTTTCAATACATTGTCCAAGTCAGCATTTTTAACAAATTCCAAAAAAAACCTCCCAAATTTTACCAAATTCTGAAGCTTTCTTCCTAACTATATATGTAAGTTTTTCAAGAGCCAGACTTGCTGATAATTCTTTTAACCAACATCCAAGAGAGGGACTACATACATTTGTCCAACAGAGCGCAATTGAACGCCTCGCCTGTAATAAACATAGGTCCACCATTACCCTCTCTCTTTTAGAAAGAGTACAGTCATCAGGAAACAGACCAAATATGCACAGCTTAGGACTTAACGTTATTGGGGAAGAGGTGATCTGAGCGATAAGAGATAACACAGACCTCTAACATTTTTGGATCTCAGCACATTCCCACAAGCAGTGAAATAGAGAGAAGGAAAATGCACGTGAACAAGCTAAATTGCTCGTTATGGAGAATAACCAATTAGTTGTATTATTTGGCTTTTTATCAATGTTGTTTTTTATGTAAGAATTCCAATTTTAATATTGAAGTTTGTCAAGCCTAGGTCCTTTTATGTTGTTTTTCTTAAAGGGTACATATAAGTAATTAACTAATGGATTTTGATTCTTAGTTTGAAAACTTTTTACAACTTTAAAATGAATATTTAAATATAAGAAGCTGTATTTCCCTCTAAGTATACAGTTTAAAGAAATAGGATGTTAATGGTGAGGTGCAGTGAACTGTTTGTATGTACACTTCTTATATTAATATACTTAACATTTCAGTTCAAACATTTACAGTATAAACATTTGGCTGAAATGCATATATAAGTTTGGCAAAATTATTTTAACATTAATTTAAGCTTTTGTTTAATTCCATTTATCAAAGTTTTTAAACATCATAAGATAAAATGTGTTTCTTAGAACAACCTCAATGATAAACATGGCTGGAACAAAATGATGTGTAACTTGCTTTTGAAAGCTACTTATTCAATTTAAACTATTTTATGTTTTTGATATCTTGTGAATGCTAGGTGGTCTTTCCTTCAGTTGTATCAGGAAGTGTGTGTTTTCTCTCTCAGACCTTTACCTTTATATCTACCTTCTTGTCCACTTAATTGAAAGTTTGTGAATCCGTTGTTTCCTCTATGGACTCCTGGTGTTATGAGTGTTAAAGTGTCCCTCTGTCCTCTTCCAGTGTGGGATAGTGCTGGGGACTCTCCTGTTGTTCTCCTGTTCGTGGATGACCCACAAGTCCTGCATGTTTCTGGTCCACACAGCGAGTAACACAAAAAGAAGGACCTATGCGGGACTAGGTGAATTTCAATCGAAATAAGTGACATTTTTACGTTTGTTTATGGCGCTTGCATTTCTTGTTGAATGTAAAAAAGTTATTCAGAATTCAGTTCATGAAAGGTTTTGCATTACTGTTTCACAGTAGTTTACAGCAGGATGTATGTAACAACCCATTTCAAGATTACATTTTTGGTGCTTTTATACGTTTATTGGAGAGACAGGACAGTGGATAGAGTCAGATATCAGGGAGAGAGAGAGAAGGGAATGACATCGGGGAATGGAGCCACAAGTCAGATTCAAACTCCGGTTGCCCCCTTCGAGGAGATCAGCCGCTGTACATGGTGCAGGCTAACTAACCACTAGGCCACTGTCGCCCCTGTAACCACCCCATTTAATGTAAAGGAAACAAAGTTAGTATTTAGCAGTAGCAACAAAAGCTATCATGACTGTGTGACTTCACTGTTACTTATCCCCTGCAGTGATCCAGAATCTTTCAGATGCTTAGTTCTGTTCTGTAGTACAAAAAGTCAAAACACATCACTTAGGTATTCCGGGTTTATCTTAGGCATTGTTTATACATAAACTATTTTTAGGACACTGCCATCTGTTTGTCCACATGTTGTTCACACTGACGTCACGCTCTCTCTCTCTGCAGCTTTCCATGCTTACGGAAAACCAGGAAAAGCTCTTGTGGAGATGAGGCAAGTCTAGTCATGAATTCACTTTATCATCATGCTGTCTATGAAGCATAAATTATGTAGATTTTTTTTTTGTACAAATAACTTAAATGATCTATAACAATTAAATAGATTTATTCCAAAAACATAAACTCCAATAATAATCTCAGCTGTCTTCTCTCTCTCTCTCTCTCCCTGCAGTATGATCGGTTTGATGTTGGGGACCTGCATTGCCTTCTACGTCGTGATAGCTGATCTGGGCTCCAATTTCTTCGCTCAGCTGTTAGGTTTACAGGTTTGAAATTAATATTTCTACTTATCTCAGTCATTTAACATTTCCTAACACTTTATATGATATCAAATCATTGTTTTTCACTGCTCTCTTCTGCACTGCCCTTTTACTCTTGAAACCAAGTCACAACGTGCGATTGAAACATGTCTTTAAGTAAGCTTGTGAAGAAACAATGTTTTTTATAATTTATATTTTATTGATTTTTATAACAACATTATAATGGCAAACAATTCTAAAAACAAACCAACATACTAAAAGGGAACAACAAAACAGGCAGGAAACATAATACACAATAAATGGATGACAGAAATTAGATACAACGATCAGAAAGTATCAACAGTGCATCACCAGAAGGAGAGCATATGACATGTGCTTGCAAACAAACAAAAGTCAATCAACACCCTGGCAGTGATGTGTTGCGTTCTCCTGATATAAACTGGCTAAAATTGTCCCATTGCTCCTTAGAAATGTCATTTTTCCAGTTCAGCTTTCCAAGCATATTTTCACAAGCAGCTATTGTCATAATTTCTTCTTTCCACATTTTCAGTTTCAGAGTTCTTGGTTCTTTCCAAAATCTAAGAATTAGCCGAGCACATGTTGTTAAGCCAGTTGTCAATAATTTGAATTAATATTTGCTTAAATAGGGTTCTACACCTTTATCCCCCAGGAGACAAAGCTGAGGTGATCTGGGAACCAGTCCTCCATAAGTGGTGAAGAAACAATGTTGTACTTTTCATGTCTCTTCTGAAGGTGACCTTTGGTTTCCGTGTGCTGCTGCTGTTTGCCGTGTCCCTGTTCATCGTCCTCCCTCTGAGTCTGCAGAGGAACATGATGTCCTCCATCCAGTCCTTCTCCGCCATGGCTCTCATGTTCTACACCCTTTTCATGTTCACGGTGAGCTCAACTACACACACACACACAAAGTGCATGAGATAAACTGCCTGTGTAGAAGATGAAACACCTTAGGAATTTAGCCATACAGCTAACCAGCACAAAGTTTATCAAACAGTGCATTTCTATTTTACTCACTAATTTAAAGGGCATTTTTTCATATTTGATATTATTCACATTTTGTTTAATTTGAATGATTTCTTTGGTTTTGTTAATGCATTCATGTGTTCTATATGTTCTGTGTTTTCCTTAACTTTGAAGAGTTTATTCAGAAGTTCACTTCGAAAGTCTTTGGTGTTGTCATCCTCCACAAAAGAAGAAGTACATTAATATACTACCTGCTTCTTGAAATGTAATCTGAATATTGTTTAGTAATGTTATTATGTGTCAGTTCTTTTCTATCTGCTCCATTGTACAGAACTGTGTTTACCTTTTACAATACAAAGTTGTATTGCTCCTCTTTTATTTTTTTAAAGAGTAAATTGGAACTTAATCACATCAGGCAGAAAACAATTGCTGCACTGCACTGCTCTTTATAGCCTGAAACAAAGCCTCTCCCCTGGGAAAGGCAAACCACTGGGGAATGGCCACAAGAGGAAATGTAAGCTCTGCAAGTGCAAAGTAAATGGAGGTCAGAAATTCTACTCCACTTAATCGTAAACTCGTTCAACTGGTAGGAATTACAAGTCTCTATTTTACCTTTTGTTACTAGATTTAAGATTTACTTTTTTATTGATCCCCGCAAGGGGAAATATAGTATACAGTATACATTTAGTGTGGAAGTATACACGCACTAATGGAGAGATGTCAGAGTGACGGAGCGGCCCACAGTGGGGGCTCCTGAGCTGGTGGTGGGGAGGGGGTTTGGTGCCTTGCTCAAGGGCACCTCGGCAGTGCACCAGACCAACTTCCATACTTCGTCCGCACCGGGACTTGAACCGGCGACCCTCCGGTTCCCAACCCAGATTTTTTTGGGGGGGTGAGACCCAAAAGGGCCAGAAATGCATTTTGTAACTAACTCTAAAAACATAATAGCATTAGAAAAAGATTGATAAGTGTCAGTCAGTGTTTGGATTTAATATGCACCCAAATGCTCAGCATATATATGAGATACATCGACAGGGACAAACACAAAAGACATTTTCTTTACAGTTATATTTGATTTAAGTTACTTTTGTAAACATACATTAATTTCTTTATGGTTTCTTTTTAAAGTCCAGTTTTTTTGTTTTTATTTCAGTTAAAACAAATATTTTTGGCAATCTAGTTTTTGTTATGTTTGAGATAATAACATTGGGCATCCAAATTCCTGTTTTTGTCTTGCACAAGGTAAAAAAATATATATATTCCAACGACTCGTGTTATTTCAGTGACTTCCAGCAGTAGTTTTCTGCCTCTCTTGATTCAGCTTGTTTACTCTTTAAAGTCACTCTCACACTGTGTGTTTGTGTGTTTTTGTTTCAGTCATGTTTAGTGCTGCTTCCCAAACGTTTTACTGCTGATCACAGTCTCTCTGTGCAAAGTGACCTGTAGATCTTGTAGCATGGCGATTACATGGACAGTTGGTGTGGTGTGTGTCTGGCTTCAGATCCAGACCCGGCTCAGCCCAGTCCAGACCCCTAACCCTTTTAACAGTGATGTCATTTTCCCTCCTTTTCCTCTTTGCTCATTACACCACCTTACCTCTCTTTCTCCCTTGTGTCCTTCTGCTCTCCCTCACTCTCCTCGACTATCTCATCTGCACCCTTTTGTTTGCTCCCCTCTGTCCCACTGCCCTCTCCTCCTCCTCCTCCTCCTCCTCCTCCTCCTCCTCCTCCTCCTGATGCTGATGCTATAGATAGTGTTGTCGTCACTGCGCTATGGCATAATCTCGGGCTCCTGGATGGAGCGTGTTCACCTGTGGCGATTGAAGGGCGTCATTCAGTGCCTGCCCATTATCGCCACAACCTTCTGCTGTCACCCGTAAGTAAAACCATTGAATACCCACCCCCCCCCCCCCAAAATAACACCACTGTAAGGGCAGTGTGGGGGGAAGATGGAGAGTGAAGGTAGCCTGCTGTTTCTCCTGCAACTTTACGCTCCTATAAAAACTTCTCTCCCACCGACCTGATCCTTCCGCCCATTCCTCTCAGTCATTCCTGTTTTCACCTTTAATTTGGGTTTGGTCTGAGCTGTTAGTGCTCTATGAGTGTGTGTGTGTGTGAGTGTTGGGGGCAGTAGTAATAAGGCAGAGAGGTGAAACATGCTGCAGTGAAAGTTTTGGCCGACTCCACGCCCAGGATGAGCAGCCTGGGTGTGGGTGCGGAGGCTGAAGGACTGTGGAGTATTCTGCTGTTTTTTAATCAGGTAAACAAATGAGCAGGACATAAGAAACACAAGCTGATCGATTTGAAAAAAACCTGTTAAGTACTTTTTGCCAAATTACCCATTCAATTTCTGTGTTTTTATTTAAATATCTTCGTCATTACTCAGCAGGTTTTTTTGTTCGGTTTTGGTTTTCTGGTCGTGTCTTTCTGGTTTCCTTTTCTTCATTTCATCATTCATTCCTTTCATTATCTGTCTGTGAGCCGTCGGCATGGGTGCAGCCCCCCCCTCCCCTCCTCCTCTTCGTGATCTTCACACACTTTTCTTCATTTTGGTCTGGGCCGTAACCCCCTCCTTCCCCTCAGATGGTGCTGTCCTCGTTCAAACATGGCCTGCTCAGTGGCCGGTGGCTAGAGCAGGTCAATGTGGTGCGCTGGGAGGGTGTGTTTCGCTGTCTCCCCATCTGTGGGATGGCCTTCGCCTGTCAGTCGTAAGTACTACTCCTGCCCTCCACCCGCATAGGACCAGTAAAATAATACTAATTACTAAAAAAAGAGATACAGAGTAGGATAAATCTGACTGTAGACCTTAAAACATGTTTTTTCGTACACTGTCTAACTCCTACAGCTGCAACATGAATGATGTTTTTCATTGCTGCATGTAGAAATGATGCATGTTTACTTGCATCATCACTTTAAGCCACAGTGGAGGGATCAGGGTGAATTTGTCACACAAAGAGACACACACATTTGTGGTGGAGATAATTGGTTGTTAAGGGATTTGTCGTCCTAATTAAGGCAGGCTGCTAATTTTTTTGCTAACGTGCTCTTCACAGTCAGCTCATCTGTTGCTGCCCTGCTTAGAATTAACCTGAGAACTAAAACTGCTTTTTTGTCCACACTTCTGCTTCTTTTATTATGTTAGAAGAATAAAACGACTTGGCCTTTACTGGTTAAAAGAAAAAATGGATGGAAAAGATTTACAGTTTTTAAGTGGCTTTAAATGTCACCAAACATGGGACCAGTTTTAAAGTAAAGATGAAAAGTTCCTGTCCATTTAAAATCATCTTTATGATCTGAAAAAAAATCTTACAATATTCAAATTGTTCAAGGAAACAAAATTAGTTTGGCAGCCATTGCCCACACATTTGATACTATAAGATTCCTTCAACTTTACCAACATTGACAACAGAGATTACTCCTCCAGACATCCGCTCAGTCAGAGCTTCTTAGGAGAACATATTCATCCCTTTTCTACATTTTCATCCACCTGCATGCTCTTTCACTGCTTCTTTTGTCCTGTCCTCTATGCTATAGCGCTTTGCTTCAGGTTTTAAGAGGTTGAAGGGTGATTATTGAAGGCCTAATTGGGATCTTGATGTACAAATTCCTACCTTTTGATTGCTGCACTGCACTTGGGTGTAGGGTGTGTTACAGTGAGGTCATTAGAGGCATGATGTTTGGCCGGTGGTAGTGTATGGGTTTGCTTGTGTTAGAGAGAGAGTGAGGTAAGTGATGGGAGTGGGTGACTGTAGCCTTGAGACTGAAACAACACTTTAATTAATAGAATTGCAAAAAGCCAGCACAACATTTTGGTATGGCGGGTGTTTTCAAGGAGTAAGGTGTGTGTTTATTAGAAGAAAAAAAAAAGTGGGGGGAGGGGGGGGCAGGTTGGGGGGCTCCCACTAGCAGCACTGAATGATATTTGGCAGGGTGATTTCTTGGCCTGCGGTCAGGCAGAGAGAGGTGGGCGCCCTGTTAAAGCCAAACCACTAATCAACACATTGGACCGCGGCCATCTTACAGACACATACTGATGTATTCACGGGCTGATTAAACAGCTCTCAGCACATTGGACTTTTATTACATTCATGAAATGTGTTTACTTTCGGTTAAAACATTACTTAACATCACCATTATGGCGCGACAGGAGCTGGCCGTGTTGTCTTTTGGCTGCACGCTTTGAATAGCGAGGTGCAGTTAGCTCATAATAGAGGGACATAAGAAAAACATGTGCGGCCAAATTGTCCCTCTGTGATGCTTCTGTCAGCATGTTTCAACTCTGAGCTAACGATAATATCTACAGCACACACTCGAGCCCTCCAAACGCTTCTCCATGTAAGACCTTCTCCGTCATATTTCCTCTAGTTAAGGGCAGAAAAAAAGCACATTAGCCCCCGAATCAGGACTTTTGTGTGATCATTAGATGATTTAGCCCCCAGCTTACAATATGCAGTTTTACTTAACCTTGGCTATCAGATTTACTGGTTTGTGGATTAAATAAGCATTGAGGAATAGCCCCACGGGACAGCACTTGGTCATAAAACCACAGCATGTGAAAGAGAGAGAACAAGAGGTGGAGGAAGTTATGGTTTCTTTCTTTCTCAGGTCGTCTCCATTTCTTACTTTCACATATATATACGATGGTGTTGGAGAAAGAGACAAGAGTCTGGGAAGTTTACAATGCTCTGAAAACCACCAGGGTCTCAGAGCTGTATATAAAACCTGTAAATATTCTGGTTAGTGTTCCAACAGTCCTCTCTACACTCACAGAGACAGAGACAGTCTCAGGTTCAACCTCAGCCAGCCTTCACTACTGTCACCCATTCTGTGTCACACACACATGCACACACTCATGTGTCAACAAAGTCTTCCCCCACATACTCCGCCCACACTGCCATGACATTACTTCCATCTCCTGCCTAATTATACCGGCAATTCTTTTATTGTTATGATCACTGTATGAAACGATACGATTGGGGGAAAAATGTGATGCGTTTATGTGCATGTCGGATGTTCTCACAAACACAACTTGTTTGGTCTGATGTGCTGTACGTCCTGATTTACAGGCATCTTCATTACATTTGGCTACAGTATGTAATGAGGGGCCTTTTTCTGCAGGTGATCATCAATTAATAAATTACCTGATAGTTTAATGATTCATTAATATACTTGTAAAAAATGGATAAACAATCCTGATGAATGGAAAAGAAGAAGGGCATTAGCTAGAAACTATTCCATTTTATAGAAATGTATGATCAACATTAGACTTTTTTTCCAATCAGGTGGGGAGGTGAAACATTTGCATAGTTAAATATTGCTTGCCTGTTTCTTGCAACTTATAAGCTCAAGCAGCACCATTAAACAGTTTTTTTTTTTTTTTTTTACCAGAAACATGTGTAGCCAGATGTATCAGACTTTTTATTTTCTTGCTTGATTGACTGTAAAAAGGTCATTTTAAGATTATTTTTCTACATGATTTTTTATTTAAAATCTGCATATTTATGTTATTAGAAGTAAGCATAAATTGTGCTTTTTCCGGACTCAAAACAAACAAAACTGGAAGGACATTTGTTTTTATTTTTACTAATGTTGCTATGTTGGTGTATCTACCTGTCCGCTCCAAATAAAGATACAATTAAAAAAAAAAAGAAGTAAGCAACTACTTTTAATCCAGCCAAAAATGAAATCTGTCTAAAGTTAAGAAGAAAAAGCGAAAAACAGAGATCTTTCCTGTCTTATCATCTCTGCCTGGGCTACTTTCCCAGTCCTCCCAGCTCCCACTTCCAAACACAAGTTGCATTATCTGATCTTTTTCCGACAGCACATGAATGCACCACAGCAGTAGATGTAGCGTGGTCTTTTGTCATGTAGCCCACAAAAAAAGTGTGTTGTTGCTGTGCGGCTACTGTCTCTCACAGGCAGGTGCTGCCGACGTATGACAGCCTGGACGAGCCGTCCGTCAAACGCATGAGCACCATCTTCACCTCAGCCCTCAATGTAGTCACCATCTTCTACATCACTGTGAGTGGAAACACACACACCATCCAACACCATTAACACTGCTGCTGTTTGTCATGTAAGCCTGAAGATGTTGTGATATTACAGTGTGTCTGATATCACCTATATTAGTGATAATGTTTCATATTTGTATCAGTGGTAAAAATTGACCTTTCATGACTTTTTTTTCTCATAGTCCACTGCACAACTCCTACATTGCACCTTTTTGTACATTGCGTTTTTAATTTTTTATATTTAACATTTTTAAATTCTATTTTATATATTGTAATATGTTCTTATACTGTATTATTTAAGTTGTTGCTACTTCTGCTTTATTTCCTTGTTAATTGTTTAGCACCAATACACCAAGTCAAATTCCTTCTATGTGTAAATGTACTTGGCAATAAACTCCGATTCTGATTCTGATAGTAACCCTGGTTCTTTTTCCGTCCCTCCACCTCAATGTGAACCAGGTGGGTTTCTTTGGCTACGTCAGTTTCACAGACGACATCGCCGGCAATGTTCTGATGAACTTCCCATCTAACCTGGTAACAGAGATGATCCGCGTTGGCTTCATGATGTCTGTGGCCGTCGGGTTCCCCATGATGATCCTGCCCTGCCGTCAGGCCATCAACACCATGCTGTTTGAGCAGCAGGTGAACATGAATGTTCAATGTTATGTGGTAACAGAAACCATCAACCATCGACTAAATCAAACCTCAATGACCTCAACCATTAGTTTCTGAAGAGGTATTTTGAAGCCCACATTTGGGAATGGCAAACTCTAGCTTCAGGCAGAGAATAAGGCAGGAGGGGGAGTTGAGTTTTCCCCAGTAAAGAAATGAGCTATCAAGGCCAAAACTTTTTTTTAACCTGGCTGTAAACATTTATGCTGTTTTGATAAAAAAATAAATAAAAAGACATATTAATATGAGCTTCAATGGGGCTCCCTTGGTTTTGCAGCCAGCCTCATGTGGACACTTGAGGAACTTCAGTTGTTTTGCAGTTTTACATTTGCTTTATTTTTCAATACTGGAGGTTGCTTCTTGATGCTATCAAACGTTGTAGTCATACAAACACCTCTGCCACATAAGATAACATCCTGCTTGTGTTTATAGTGAAAACCAGACCAGTAGTACTTATTCTGATTCCTGAATAACCAGCCTTAATGGCATTTTTCCGCCGCCCTGGTGGACACTTTGTGTATCGCTTGTGTTTTCTTTATTTTCACCCTCAGTTTAGTTTCATTTACACAAAGAGCAGACTGCAGTGTGCATGCAGCTCAGTTATCTCCTTACGTTTATAACTTGGAGTTGATATGTCCGTAAGTAACATGTCATATATTGTTTGAATGCATTTTTATGAAGAGATATTTCTGTTTATGACGATAACATTAAGCCTCCAGTTGTGAGTAAACACGGAAATCTGTTTTGCTAACCATCAAATAGCTAACATTGCATTAAGCATTGTGTCATGTATTTCCGGAGTTGTTTAGCTGCTGAATAAATGTGTGTAAGAATGTTACATGTGAATACATGGGGTTACAATTCATAGGGATTTAAAAAGTAGTTTAATTCATATTCGTCTCAAGCTATTAATATACATCATACATTTAACTATTTACAGTTTCATTTCATGTGTGTATGCTTTACATGTGCAGTATATTGACACAATATTTGTACTGTATTTTCAGTTTTACAGAAACGACCATCACTAAAGCCACGTAGTTCAAGAAAACGGTTTTATTGGAGTTTTTGTTCGCTATCTGTGTAGCCTTGCTCAGAAACGCAATCGTGAGGACAGAATAGTACTAACTGTTGGTAATGTGATGATGAGAAATAAGACATTATTAAGCACAAGAATTGGTGTGGCCACAACAGAAAAATTGATGTACTGTTAACACTGAAAGCTTCCTAGAAAACACGTTTTATTATTGTAAGCTGAAAAATAGAAAATGCAGTTTCATGATGTTGAGATGGTCCTCCTTTTGTGTTTCCATCTCATAGCAGAAGGATGGGACGTTTGCTGCGGGAGGATACATGCCTCCTGTGCGCTTTAAGATGATCACCCTCTGCATCGTGTTTGGAACCATGCTGGGAGGCATCCTCATCCCCAACGGTACATCCTGTGTGTTAGAACAGTAGTGCACTGTATGTATATGTGTGTGTTTGTGTACAGCTCGCCGACTGGAGGTGTGAGTGTGAGTGATTGTGTGTGTGTGTGTGTCTTTATGTGGGCGGGGTAGCTGTGGAACTTTACGACATGTGTGAATGTGACTTTACGAGTCAGTGACTGTCACACTCCAACACAGTCCTTAAATCAGGACCCTAACTTTTATCTCCTTTTAGACGGGCAGACGGGAAGATAGGGCTATTATTCTCTTTGACTCTCACTGCACACACACACACACACACACACACCCATGTAAACACTTTCATTGGCTCTCTGTCAGGTTTTCTGAGTCTCTCTGTCTCTCTCACAAACGGCTCCAAAATGGTGGCGATGTAAAGGTTAGCGTGAGTTTATGTATTATTCATTCTTTTATACAGCCGCTGTTTGTTAAACTTTTGATTGGCTGGACACACACACACACAGAGCAGGTTTGGCCAGCTCTTTGTGTGTCTAATCAGACTAATAGACTGAGGAGAAGGGAGGTAAGGACCCTGGAGAGAATGGACACTAAATCTGAGGGAGACAATATGGTGTCCGTCCTCCGGATGAACTATGGAGTTCCAGGCCAGACGCCCAGCCAGCCCGGTCTTCAGGGACGGGGGCGGGGCCAGGGCTCAGTGCTGCCAGGAAATAGGGCTCCATTGTTGGTAGAGTAGGGCTGAGAGGGTATGAGGGGCAGAGGTGGTTGTGAATGGAGCCGGTGATAAAGAGCAAAGATATCAGGAGATGCTGTGAGGTTTTTAGAACAAGGTAGGAAACAGTACGATTCGCTGGAAACTTTTAATTGTTAACTTGATGCTAACTTTTTAAACTCTGGTCTTTAACTATAAGTGAACAATTTTAACTCTTTATCATTAACTTTAACTAACTTTGTTAATCAGATATTTTATTAAATCATTTCAACTTTTTGAAGACTATAATCTTACTCTTTGAACTATACTGTTACTCTTACATTTAACAGTATATCTGTAACAGTCATTTTTGAACAAACAGGACAAAAAAACATACACATGACAGCAGGGACTTCAATGAGCAAATTAAAGATCACATGAGATTTAAAAACAATCAAAACAAGACATCAAAATATTTTGATGTCAAGACAGTATCATACATGGACATATCTATATCACAGATTTCAGACATTTAACATGGAACAGGGAATATACAACATAAGACTGTAAAATACAACACCCAGAGAGCATTAAGTATACACAGAGGTACAGGAGGGGCACCAATCTACATTGCAGCGCCCCCTGCGTAATAGGTCTGCTGTGCCACGTGGGAGGTGGTTTAGGAATGGTTCCCATAGCTTACTGAAAACCCTTTCATTTCCCTTTAACACTGAACTTAAGCGTTCCATTGGCAAGACTTTAACTATATCACCTCTTAATCACTCACTTCAAGCTAACTATTGAAGCTGTATATCCGTTATATTTAGCTTTAAGAATTACACAATTTAAAGTGGTCCACTGTTTATTCATGACTTTTAGCTTGCCTTGGCTAACTACTTTAATTATTAATCCATTACTTCATGCTGATCATTTCAACACTTCATACATTTCTTTAAGCTAACTAGTTTAGCTGTACATTAAAGTGTGCCAGCTACACTTTGGATGCAAGTACTGTTGGTTTGAAATCCCTTCTTATGGGCCAACAAGGTAATCACTGTGTTTGTCTTTCCCTTTCTTTCTTCAGTGGAAACCATTCTGGGTCTAACTGGAGCCACCATGGGCAGCCTCATCTGCTTCATATGCCCTGCCCTGATCTTCAGAAAGATCCAGAAAAATGGCATCATTGCTCAGGTGACAGAGCAAAAAAAGGAACTCTCTTCCCAATCATTAATCAGTCGAGTCATTCATCGACTCTGACCTCATTTGCTTCTCCTCTTTCTCTCTTTCTCTCCACCTTGTTAGCTGGTGCTCTTTGTGGGTCTGGGCATCCTGCTGATCAGCACCTTTACCACCCTCTCCATTTCGGCCAGCAGTACCCCCACCAAAGCCATAGGTCCTCCTCCACCAGCACCTATCAGGAACAACCTGCTAGTACCAGACCTTCCACAAATGCAAGGTAAAGATCACGACATACACTAATGGCATGCAATCACTTATCTACTTGATGAGATGTAGATTAAAGTGGAAAACTAATGAGCCATGCAAACATTTACCTCAACGGTCCTCAGCCAGGTAGACATGCAATAGTTTCATAGAAAAAGCACCAGAAGCATGAGACACATAGTTATTTCTTTGTTTTATTTTGCAAATTTGTGCACTGTTTGCAGCATCCTACGACAGCAATGTATAGAGAAGGAATATGAGGCTGCAAAGATTAAAACAAAAGCACAAAGCCACAGGAAAAAGTAAAAGCTTCCTTTCATGTGTGTGAGAAGAAAAGAAGGAGACAGACAGGGTGACTGATGGATAGACAGGAAGGGTGAGAAGATAACCTCTTGATAATATCTGAGAGCAGCACTGAGTGCTTGACATTGATGGAGCGAGAATGATGCCCTTCAAACTCGAGTAATTCCCCCCCCCCCCCCCTAGCCCTCTACCTCTGTTCATTTCTCTTGCCATCCCCTCCCCCCAAAAATACATTGTCTCCCCCTCTCTCCCTCATATCTCCAGTGGCAGCTTAAAATGCCTGCGAGCTCCAGAATCCAAAAGGTTGATACAGGTACAGGGGGAAGACAAAAAAAACAAATAAAGATGAACTTTAATGTTCTAATTTTGAAATGAATTAGGTGGCTTTTAGTTTCACTTCCTCTCATTTTCATACCTTCCTCTGGTGTGGTGCAACCTCCTGACCGGTTTCTCACTTTCCTTTTTTTTCATGCATCCCCCTCACTCTTCTCTTCTCTCTGTTTCTCATTTATTTTACCGCACCAATTGTGTCCGTTCTGCCATTGTCAACAGTGGCTGCCACCTAGTGGACCAACCTACTCATTAGCACCGGTCGGCTTAAAATCCATGATTACTGGGTGGATCATAGTCATAATTGTAATGCGCTACACCCAGGTGTTAATTTATTTTGGTGCCAGCTGTTAATGTGTGTAATAAACACAACTGTGCAATACTCTAACGAGAGCTTGTCTGGACCAGCATTAAATACTGTAGACTTACCACAACACAGTCATTTCACTTTTCTCAGACAGTAGTGGAATAAATGAGGTGTCACATTTGTGGTTTTTTAATTTAGTCACATTTTTTATAGAGTTAGGGATTCAGTTGCAGCAATAACTTTGTGTTGTGTGTCTCTGCATGTAGAAATTTCTCTTAACAAGAAGCCAGTGGAGATAGAAAAGCCAGCTCCTCCAGTTGTGGAGGGGCTAAAACCCGTAGAGAGGGTCCAGCCTGAGCCCCCCCAAATTATAGGACCAGTGGATGTACCTGAGAGGAAGAAGAAGGAGGAGGAGGTGCAGCTGGACCGCCCTGATGCTGGTAAGGGCACTAAACCATGGTTCCAATGTAAAAGAAATGTGTATGAATAGTAATGATTTGGATATTTACTTAGGTGTTGCTGTGCCAGAGGTAGAGGCCCATCGCCATGAACCTCCCATCCCTCATGATGAGGTTGTGGTGGATGCCAGGAAGAACAATGCAGAGCTGGAGGATGACAAAAAACAACCGTTTGTAGGAGAAAAGGAACTAAAGAGACATAATGGTTTAAGCAATGAAATGAAGGTAGAGGCCAATCGCCATGAACAACCGTTTGAAGGAGAAAAGGAACTAAAGAGACATAATGGTTTAAGCAATGAAATGAAGGTAGAGGGCCAGAAAGACGAGAAAGAGGAACAAAAGCCTGCAGAGGTTGTGAAGAAAGAAGTTGTGGATTTGGGTGGAGGTGAAGTTCTTTCTAACGAGGTGCTGGAGAAGCAGGGTGAAGCAGTAGGAAAAGAGCAGGAAGTTCCTAAGCTAAAGACTGATGAAATAATCGATGCTGTGAAAGATTCCAGGAATGTAGATGTGTTGAAAAATAAGGCTCCAGCTGCACAGGTGGAAAATGAGGCCCAAGCACCAGACACTGCAGGGAAACGTGAGTATTACTTTTCTCCTACCTGTCATTTAAACGATGTGGAAGAGAGGACAATACTACATCGATCTGGTGACATCTGGTGACATTTCAGCTCCACTTCCTGAAGGAGAACATCAACCTGCTGCCGACAGCAAGGACACGGCAGACGAGAAGTTGGAAGGTGAGTAGGATAGAAATATTCTGTGTATTCCCAAGATGCCTATTTATAAACAAAACAAGCTGCGCTACCAACTTATCATTGGTTGGTACATCATTTGTCTTTGAATTTCCACAATTAATCATATGTAATAAAATGTAAAATAAAGCTGCCACAACAGTCAGTATCATACAGTAGAAGTGGTGGGGATACAAGCCTTTGTAACCATAGTTTGCCTTCATTGACCAGGATTTGTGACATACAGGGGTCCTGTGACAGACACAGCTCTTTGTGTACACACTGTGCAGAAAAGTGAACTACATGATTACTTCAAGGACACTGTAAAGTTTTTTTTTAAACTTTTAGTACAAGATGATAAAGGCAAGTTGCAAAACATAAAGTGTAACACTTTGTTACTTGTTACTTTTTCACAGATGACCCCATACATTTCCCTGAAAGGTTAAACAAATTTCCATTTAATTTTACATGGACAAAAGAAAAAACAAGATTTAACTTTCTGAAAATTTCCATGAAACATTATAGAATAGAATAGAATTACTTTATTGATCCCAAACTGAGAAATTGTGGTGTTACAGCAGCAGGTTGTCCAAACACACAATATGAGCAAATCTAAACACAATATAATATTAAATAGAAAGTAAATAAGCACTAAAAATATCAAAACTAAGAATGAGAATATATACAACCAGGATTTAATTTAGCATTACTAGTCTTAAATATGAAAGATTAAATACAACATACTTTGCTAGAGGTAAATGTTATAATTGAACAGTATTGACATAGGGAGCTGTGCAATCAGTGATACACAAGTTAAAGTGCAGGAGTGTAGACGTGTTATCAGTAGAAAATATTCAATATAATTGTGAGTAGACAGACCTTTTAGTACAACATGATAAAGGCAAGTTGAAAAACATAAAGTGGACTTTCCAGATAGTCTTCTGCTTTATGCTGCTGCCTCTTCCTTCCTTATCTCAATTTGTTTGTTTTGTCTTCCATTGTTTCATCTTGAGATTTTGGGCCTTTTGCCTTATTTCAACGAAACAAAGTAACGCACTGTGGGGGCTTAATTCTCGTCCATTTCTTCCTCTGCCTGTTTTGGCTTTTGCTGACTTTTTCTTTCTGTTTACTTTTGCCCTTTCTCTCTCTCTCTCTCTCTCTTTCTCCGTCTTTTCTCCTTCTTCTTCCTTTCTCTGCCGGACTCCTGTCACAGTGATAAAAAAGCTGGTTGCAGGTATGAATTCCCTCTCTCCTCTATTCTTAATCTCCCTCTGTTTCCCTGCCATTCACTCAGCGGACTATTTATCAATTAAGTAAATAGGAATTAGCTTCTACTACTTTATGATGTCATATCACTAAACAATCTGTTGATGTAGAACCCACCCACTCACTTCCCCCCATAACATAGTTTGTGTATGTCTGCAGCTGCCCATTCCAGTTTATCTGAGTTTGGACCAATGAGACGGTCTGATACTATAGTGGGAAAAAAAAAATGTCTGCCCCACCTCCCATCTAGATAATGGTCCTGCATCAATCTAACTAAACCTCTCAGCTAATTAAAACATGTTTTGGAGCACTGTGTGACTTATTTTAATTCAGTGTCTTTGTCATGTAGAGGGCCAGCTGGACCACGCCGTCCTACTGCAGGTGATCAAGGAGCAGCAGGTGCAATCCAAGAGACTCCTGGACCAGCAGGAGAAACTTTTAGCTGTGATAGAAGAGCAACACAAGGAGATGCACCAGAAACAGCCTGCTGGTATGTATGCATGGGATGCTTTACAGACAGAGTACAGGTAACAAAGCATGTTGTTTAAGTTTAAAAAATGAATGTGTTATATAATTCAGGGGCTGGAGAAGGTGAGGCAGAGAAAGGAGTCCAGGAACCCTTGGAGGTGGTGGTGGAAGGAGGAGCAACAAAGGTGAAAGAGTCCGGCTTGGCGTCAGACGTGAAGCAGACTAAGGAGGAGGCTGGAGCTGCACAGGGTGTAGAAGACCAGCCTAATGCTATAGCCCCGAATCAAGCCCAGGCTGCTGATCAGGGTGCTGTGGCCGGGGATCCTAAAGCAGCTTATAAAGAGGACAGCCATGAAGCAGCAGAGGGAGAGCCCCATAAGCAGAGCGAGCTAGGGGCAAGGGGTGTGCCACTGAGAAAGAAAGGACCCGATGACCATCAACCTGAACCTCAAAATGATCAGGTAGCCCAACTCAAGGATGAAGAAAGAAGTGTAGATAAGGAAAAGGAAAGAATGGAGAAAGAGGCGAGGCTTGAAAAAGAAAAGCACGAGATGGAGACAAAGGAAAAACTGAGTCGAGAACTGGAGTTGGAGAAGGCACGAGCTGAAAAGGAGAGAATTGAGAAAGAAGTGCAGGCGAGAGTGGAGACACAGCGACTGGAAAGGGAAAGACGGGAGAGGCTGGCGAAAGAACAGGAGCTGGAGAGAGCGGCAAAGGAGAAGCTTGCACAGGAGAAAGCAGCAGCAGCAGCAGCAGAAGAGAGACTTAAGCAGAAGATGCAGCAGGCAGACAATGAAATATTTGAGAGAAAGAAAGAGATAAAAGTTGAGGAGGCTCAGGAGAAGCTGGCCCAGGTGGATGGAGATATAGCAGTCAGAGTTGTTGCACAGGGGGCTGAAGGAGAAGATGGAGGAGCTTTGAAGAATGGAGGAAGAGACCTCAAAGAGAAAGCTGTAGCTCAGGCCGACCCCAGAGAAAGAGGAGAAGACTTGGCCGTCAAAGCCAACGCTCAGCCTCAGGGCTCCCACGAGAAGGTCAGGGACCAGGGAGAGATGGATCTAAGGAGGAGGCGCAGGGCACTGGGACCCGGCGAGGCTGAAGGGATCTCAGAGGAGACCGGCATGTCCAGGGGGGTGCCTGGGCTGGAACCCCTGTTGGAGCTGGGGGGCTCAGACTTGCACGCAGCCCTTGAGGAGCGGCTACTGGCCGGAGCAATAGTGCACTCGCGTCAGATTAAAGAGGCCTCAGAGGACGAGGGGGTGAAATAGATACACACCTGCAAGAACCAGTCAAACTGTGGACTATGAAACAGTTGCCTTTACATCCATTCTCGACTTCAGAAATGTTCTGGACTAAAAGGAACACATTCTCCTTGATACTGTGTAGTTCAAAAATAACCCAAAGTCTTTGTTAAAGAGCAGTGTCTGTAAATGTTAACTTATTTTTGTCTGTACTGGAGAGAATTTTAAGAGGTTACTGTTGAAATGTAAATAAATCTATGCAAATCTGTGTGAAATGTTTTGACAGGATGAGTGTAAAAATGTTTGTTTGAATCTACTCAGTTCCTTTTCATTTAGCAGCTCTGTGGCTTCTGTCTCTGTAGGTTCTGTGTCTTTTTATCATCACCTGTGTGGATGTGTGTGTGTTTAACGCTGCGGCCAGTTAGGTTCATCTGTTACTTTAAAGTGTAAATCATGTACATGTGTTGTGGTTATTCTTTAGGCCTTCAATTGACCACATATTGGATGTATTGTGGGGGTAAAGCACCTTTAGTTTATTGTTGCTTCTCTATACTTTCAAATGAATGTAACTGCATTCAGCCTCATTCTGGAGCGCCGAGGTTTATAATAGTGTAGCCTTACTGTTTGAGAAACTGTGGATCCATGACTGTAGTAACAATCATTCCATCTTCAGAAGCTCCTCCACTTTGATTCATCGTGCCTTTCAAGCAACATGCTGCATTGGGTGACTCTTTAAAAAAATGTGGCAGTTTTTCTCTATTTTATTTTTCATCTCTCTCCTAGAACTTTGAATCTACAAATCGCTAAGATTAAGAACATTGTGTTTAGGAAATTGGAGAAATTAATGATCCATGTTTGGAGTGTTTTTTTTAATTATTATTTTATCCAGAAATCCAACTCTTCTGACTCCATCTGTTAGCACTTCAACACATGCTGGACCCTTTCTTCATACAAGAGACGTTTTCATGACTATTTTTCTATGTGCATCGAGTTTCTGTACATTTTGCTGATAAGAATAAATAAAAAACATCTTTATTACATCCACGGCTGTTCTTCTGTTTTTACACAGTGGATTCATTATTCTTTATTCACCTTCTGTATATTCCAGAAATGTAAATGCATACATTGAACAGAACTACCATGTATCACAAGATCATCAGTTCATTTAGAGTGTCCCCTAGATAGATATTATCACATCGATTAGAGTGTCTTCTCCCACTGCACCGAGCACGTCATGTGACAGGTGAGTCCAGTATGCAGCTCCAACAAAGCAGGACAGTGTCCTCATTTGGGTTTTTTCTTGGCCTGTAATTAAGAAAAGAAAATCTATTTTAGGACCACGATGGTGTGTCCCCCACTAAATAATAATGGAAGCTTGATCACTGACTTTGTCACTTACTGCATTTATAAAGCAGGTCTTCAGTGCTTCAAACTCCTTAGCACAAAGGTCTTTCTTCAGCTCGTGTGTGCCTGTTGTAGTCGCTGCCACACACTTCCCATACACTGAAGCCTGAATCAAAAACACGGGTGACATCCCCGTAAAAACGTAAGTAACATGACTTTGTGACTTCATATGTGAAAAGTTTAAGATACAAAATGAGTTAATATTCCATGAGGAGATTGTATAATCCATTGATTCATCTTTGATTTATACACATTTCCACTGTTTCATTATGCCAAATATGTATGCTACACCAATCTTTGTCTAATGTGTGAATACAATGTGAAGCACAAAGTGGTTCATTCTTATCATTGAATAATCCAGCTATAAGTAATAACAGTGGAGCCTAAACTCTGAGCTAGATAACCTGTATTTTTTATCATCTATTGCCAGGGGCCTTTATTTATCTCAACAGCAGAAGGCTCCAGACCGTTATGTAAATATGTTTTATATTAGTGGCAGGCTTTTATTGCTGATTTGTTGTGTGATCAGTATTAATGGTGCTCTCTTAGTGCAAGTATTGACTGCTCTCCAGTTTGCTGTTAGAAGTAATCTGACTGAGATAATGTCTAATGTAAATTAAATTGTTTCTTGCATCAGTGGACAGATTACCTTCAGTTTTATTTTTTTAAACAAAGCTTTTATTGTATTGTGAAACAAGTACAGTGACGTGGAAAATTCAGTGGGTATACAGTTCTCTACTGTTCCTGTAAAGCACTTGAAATGAAACTTCTGCCATCTTGTGGAATAGATGGAAGTCAATTTCCACCAGTTAAAAAAATAAAAATGAAAACTTGGCTCGAAATTATGAGATAAAAAGTCAAAAATTATGAGATAATAAAGTCAAATCATGACATTCAAGGATGCATCTCGGTCACATTGAAGACTACATGAATGTACATACAGGCCCCTGGAGCAGAAGTCACAGAATAAACCACTTGAGCAAGGGACACAATAAACAAAGAGAACATTTTGATCTTTATCTCATTATTATGACTTTATTATCTCATAATTTCGATTTTTGATGGTCCAAAAATAAAATCTCAACAAAGTCAAATTTTCCTCTTTTTTTTTTTAACTGGCGGAAATGGGCTTCCATAGAAATATGTAGGCAGACTACTGCAAAATGCAGTTTGGCATAATATCATAGACTGTAAATATTGCGCATAATATACATTGCCAACTGACATTATCAATTGTTGAATTAAAAAAATGAGGCAATAAAAATGTACGATGTGCTTTGTTGGCAGTGCAACAGACAGGGGGTTTAAGCACCCAATGTGTCGCCTGTATTACTTCAGAAATGTTTTCGTAACCTGCATTAAATTTGCTTTTTGAAGAAGTCTATAAGAAATGTCTCTCTTACAGCAAAATGTATGTTGTGTTTCTGTGTCTGTGAGGTTTAGACAGTTAAACATGCTAGAGTTTTCTTTCACAGGAAAAACAACACAGCTGCAGCCCCATGCTAAGCTATGACAACAATAGAATAAACATTGTGTACTCATCGCTTACCTCTGCAGAACACTGTGCCAAAAGTTCAGGGAAAAGTCTTAATTTCTCTCGGCTACGACTCCAAACATTTGACCCAGACATGGCAGCTGTTTAGGCGTTAAAAGAGGTATTTTACACTTCAACACACGAGCACGATAGGATAGGAACGATCATGTGGTTACCCTCGGCGTTTCACAATCATTAAAATATACAGACAAAAACAACTTGTGATACATTTTAAAGAAAGCTCCACATCAAGCAGACAACACTGTGCACCACGGGCAGCGCCATATTGTTGACCCTGTCATCAAGGAAACCTCAGAACAATATTCGGCGATACGGTTCGCTACTGTCCCTGTCAGTCAATGAAGCTGCTTTAGCTTTCCTGAAGCTGATTCGCTAGTTGTAAACCATGGGCGTAACCAGAACGCCAATAGACTGTTTGCTGTTCCGTGATTGGTTAGCTGTCACCTCGAGCTCCACCTCCCGCTCTTACCCCTCGGAGGAAGATGAGTAACCCGCAGCCTGGACTGCTAAATCATGGCAACATTTATGGAGCGATTAGCCTTCCTTCAGAAGGTAAGTGTTGTTTGCAGTCTTTACTTGTTGTGAAAAATATTAGCTAAGAGATGAAAGAAGAATGTTTAATATGACGTACGTATACGTGCCTGTTTTAATCTGTTCAAGAGGTGACATCAGTAGCATGCTAGCTGCCTTGTAGCTAACAGTATGAAGAAACAAAAGTAGACATTGCCAAATGCTTTCATATTGTTTTTTCATTAAACCTGCTAGCTTGTTGTATTACAAACGCAGACATTAAGGCACTTGTGTTTGAAACTGATTTAACTGCCTGTTTGGCCTAAAGTAATGTGACTTAGACCCTGGTGTGATGCCAACTTGGTGTTGATTTCAGAGCTGCAAAGTAAACAAGTTGGATTCTTTTCAGATTGTTTATGAACCATGCATCCCCTCGCTAACATCTTTGATCTTTCTTTTTTTCTTTTTTCTATTTCTTGTCCGTTATCCGAAGGTCCCGACTCTGATGAAGGCTACAGCAGATGATGAAAACCCCTGTCCTGGATACCTGTTCCAAGAGATCGGGAGTATCCTTATGCAGCCTCTGTTTCGGTTCAGCCACTAGCTTCCACTTGTGAAGATGATTTGGATTTGATGTTGGATGGCGATAAATCAATTTAGTAATTTAGTAAACTAATAGCTGCTGGATTTCATCTACATTTTTAAAAATCAATTGTGTACCCTTACAATTATAATGTAAGGGTATGACTGTCGACATAACAGATCAAAGTTTGACTTAGCTTGTCATATCAGTTTAGTGAATCCCTTTTTAATGCAATGGATTGTAAAGCAATCAATTGAAAAACATTCATCAAAAATGTTTCCAGAAAAGCTAATAAGTGAATTTCCACACAGGAGTTAAGTTGGAGAGATTTTTCTCATAGTTATTTTATTCATCTCCTACTTTCTATTCAGTGAAGATTCACTTTCTGACGATCAGACACACCGAGTGCATAAAGCTAGGGATATACCCTTAACCATCATCACTCTGTAGAAATCTCCCATGAGTCTTCAGCGAGCGGTCAGTGTTTGTTGGAGTACCTTCTGGAAAGGCTGCAGGTGGAGTCCTGTCACGTCAAACTCAAGGTGTGTGAACAGTATTATTTTTGACATGACTGATAAGTTGGTACATTTCCTTCTTTTCCTCTCTGTGTGTCAAATCAACGCTCTTGTTTGTGCACCTTGTGTCTCAGGTGCTGAAGATTTTTGTCCATCTTTGCGGTCATGGCTCAAACCTTTTCCTCACAGAGCTCCGAAGGAACTCCACCTTCATCCAGCAAGCATCAGGTTAGACATTGAGCTCCATTTATCTCTCATCGCTCTTTGACCGCCCCATCAACTTAATTCTCACTTGCTGTTTGGTTTCTTCTTTTTTTTTAAGTGTACAGTGGCCCTCCTGATCCTATCCATGGCACAGCATTGTACCAGAAGGTTAGAAATACAGCACAGGTGAGACACAGGGGTCGTTACTTACTATGTCAATCAAATATCCCTGACAGATTGAACACTCTTACATATTTCGTCTTTCTATTCACAGGAAGTGGCCAGGTTGCTTTTCACAGATACACTAAAAAGCAATGCATCCCCACTCAGCCTAGCCACCCCGACAATGGGTGAGTATTCAATTAACCATTTAATGTAGTAATAAGGGCAGAAATCCACACATGCCACTTAATGACTACAAAAAAGTACAACAAATTTGATTGGTTTTACCAATCAGAATCGTTGAAAGCCATTCTTACCTTCAAATAAATGTTCCCAAAACAAACTTTCTTATTGACACACAAGTGACTTTTGAGACTTTGGCCGTTTTAATCCCAAGTATACGTTTATTTGTTTTTTAAATCCCTGAATGCAATAGGTGTTATGTGTGTTTCTGTCTAGGTATGGGCTCAGGAACCAACCACAGGTCAGGAATGCAGGGTTTTGGATACAGTCCAGGGAAGCAGGGGACAGGTTAGTGACACACACACACACACACACACACACACACATCCAACCGATCTTCTGTCATATGAAAAGAGTCTGTCTGAACATTTCTGTCTGTTCATCTTCCTCCCAGTAGGCAGTGACTCACTGCTGGATAAGATCCAGAAAGCTGCAGAGGTTGTGGCCAGCGCTGTGCTTCCCCCCACAGAACAACAGGGCATCCGTCTCCATGACAACCATTACCGGGCTGTAGTTGCGCCTTCTGCCCCCATCGAGGTGGCTGTTCCTGCGTGCGCCTACAACCTGCCTGCCAGCAGATCGAAAGGTGAAACAAGTTTAAGTGATATGGACTCATTAGTTAGGTTTAGAATAAAATGAGGGTTAGAATTTCTGCAGTTTTTTTTTAAATCATGAACAGTATACTTTATTTAATGTCTCAAGACTTCTTCACCTGAGAATACCATTTGTGTTCACCCCAGGGTTGACCCAGCGGTGCCCGGGACAGGTGGGAGGTGGCTGGGAGGAGACAGACAGTGGCACCAGCTCCTCTCACAACTCCTCTCAGGACATGGCAGCAAACAGCAGAGCCTCTGTGGGCAGCAAGTCAGCCGGTACTGGGAGCCAATCGGGGGGCCAGCAGAGAGAGCAGCGGGGACCTATCAGAACGGTAAGCAGCCTGTATAAATGGTAATGTAGTCACATATGTCAGCTTGGAGATGATTCTTTAAATGTTAAGTGGGGATTTTAAGTTGCATATTTTTTTTTTCCGTCTGGTCTGCAGGGTGGAAGCGCTGCAGTTGGGGGACTGTGGCCAGGAGATGGCGCTCATCAACAGACTAACTGAAGGATCAAGAGTTTTCCTGTCCAGAGAGGAGACCCAGCACTTCATCAAAGAGTCAGTCCATTTAAATAAACCCATTATGAACATGAGTATTAGTTCTGTTGTATTGTATTTGGGACTGTATTTTCTGTTTAATCCCTCAGGTGCTCCATCCTTAACTGTGAGGTGGTGGTGGAGTTGCTCTCGAGCAAGCTTCAAGATCCGTCAAACACAGTAAAGATGGTAACAACTCTTCGGACTCGCCAAATATCCAGATATTGTTTTTTAATGTAGGGCAACACTTCTATTCTTGTCTTTGTTTTCCTCCAATTCCTCAGCGTGCGATGTGTGCCATATCATGCCTCATGACCTCCGACCTCCTCTCTCTGGAGCAAATGTTTGGAGCAACTCAAAGAAGGCTCTTCCAGCTGAGTGAGGGGGCTCCAGGGCCTGTGGCCAACAAAGCCACCAAGGTAAGGAGAGAGAATCAGAGAGCCTGTTTTACACCTGGTGACGTTTGACCAATTGTGATTGGTTCTCACTTTCTCACTCAATTAGTGAATGAACAGGAAGCCTGCGTCATCTTTATTAAGATTAAAAAACATCAACCCATAAAAGATGTTGATGCAGCTGCGAGAGAGCGAGAGAGAGAGAGAGAGAGAGCGAGAGCAAGAGCGAGAGAGAGAGAAGAAAAAAAAGTGACAAAGTGTGATCAAACCTTTTGACTCTAAGCCTGATTTGATGTTAACAGTTATGTGATGTAACTGTAATTTATAAAGTAGACTGGAGTCTACAGTGACAAACACATCTCCTTTTTGAAATCAGTGTGTCTTCCACTCTACATTATAATAAACTATGATGAACTGCTCGTGGGTCACATCAGTCACCCACATCCAGGCGGCATTTTACCATCCTCTCTTGTCCTTCTTCTGGTGAATGCACTGCTGTTATGACCAGCTCGTGTAGGCCCTAACATTCAGTGGAGGTCCACACAGTCAGCTTGCTTTTAAGGTCTAGTTTATTCAAAACAACACAAAAATACAAGGGCAGAGGGGAATGAGTATATTCTGTCCAGAGGAAGAGAGACAGAAAGCTGTGGCAGCCTGGCTTATATTGCCCTTCCACTCAGGTGAAGCCCATCTGAAATCATCAGGTAGGTGGGCGGGTCTCCCAACAAGCAGCAGGCATTCCACCACCGACCACCAGATGACACCAAACCTTGAAACACAAAAGATGATGGTTGCACTTTCGCTGCAACCATCTCGCCTCTGTAACGCCTCTGTTACTACCTCCAGAGACAGTACAGGGGGGGGTCACTTCATCCACCTATTACGCCTCTTTGACCTTCATTTAAGGCGTCACAGGGGCGTAAATATCGCGGCTTTAAACGGCAGCCTGAAAAGGGCCTTGTGTAACCATCAGATCCTCTCTGAAGGCTAACAGGATTTTAGACTTTTGGCAGGAGTGAATTTTCACCATCAGGACATCGTTATGTTTGACATGTTTGTAAAGCTTCCCCTCAGCAATAACATAAAACATGCTCCTTAATCCTCAGGCATCAGTTTAATTTACTACCCTCTTAAATCACTAAGGACAAAAATGTTCACTTCCAAAAAACTGATATAAAAATAGAACAGATTGATATTTTTTTCTACTTTTTCTGCATAAATCTCTTAAACAACTTCAGCCCTGCTGAAAACTACCAAACATTCAATCATTTTTAGGAATTTAACCCTTTAAATGCCAGTTTGATTACTTGATGTCACTGTTGTTATTTATGAAAAAAACACAAAAATTAGTTATTTTCCATATAACAAATATTTGGTGGCTGGGGGATTTTTTCAAATCAGTCAATCAAAATATTGACTTTGATGCATTGTTAGTTTTTGTGTAGCATCAGATTTAAAATGTAGTTCCCTGTTTGGACAGTGGAGGGACGAAAATGTCCAATTTACAAAAAACTGCTTTAAAAATAGAACAGATTAATATTGTTTTCTACTTTTTCTGCATGCATCTCTAAAAAAAAAACTCCAGCCCTGCTCAAAATGATCAAATATTGAGTAATTATCAGGAAATTAACCCTTTAAATGCCGGTTTGATCACATGATTATGGCAGGGAACAATCAAACAGGGAACTACATTTTAAATCTGATGCTGCACAAAAACTAACAATGCATCAAAGTCAATATTTTGGATAATCTTTGACAATCTTTTTTTTAAATTGATAATTTTACTGTTGTATTCAGTTGTTTATGAGTCTGTTTAACATTAGTATCCTTTTTTGATTTGATCTAATATTTAATCCCTCTTATGTATAGTTAGTTGTTTTCTGTATGTCCCTGTGTTCATTATGTGTTTTATGTACTATCTGTTTTTCTTAATAGTCCCTAGAGGGATTATTAAGTTTAGGGGAAATAATTGTACACCGTACTGAAAAGCTGTGGCTAACTGCACTTACAAATGTCAGATCAGATCTGGATGCCACACAGAACACAATTTAATATCAGGTGTTAACAAGGCCATAGAGAAAGCTTCAAATAACAAAGACTGATGGGACAAACTGAAAGTATTCTAGTATTTAAGGGTGTATGTTTCTGTTCTTATCTCCTCTTACCAGATCCTGCGCCAGTTTGAGGCTCTCATGGGTGGAGGTCTACACGCTCCCAGGCAGGAAAACAGCAACCACCGGACAACAACCAATCAGCTATCGACATCTACACACTCGGACCCTTTACTACCAACCCACTCTGCTGACAACCCCAACCTTATGCATTGTGTCACCAAACCCCCGAACCATCCAGCTTCCCCTTCTGGTCTTGCCTTGGACCAGAGAGAGTCCTCGGTGGAAATGAATGACTGTGATCTGGATTCTGCCGTTCAGATGGAGTTGGTTCACGACCAGGTGGAGCCGGTCAGGACTGCTGAGGATGAATCAGAGCCGGACACAGAGAGGAGCTCTTCCCCTCCAGCTGAGCCTCACAGTGAGACACCCCGTCTGAGCGGACTGTCCCTGTTCAGCGGTATGGAGCTGGTGACCAAGTTGAGGCCACTGTGCGAAAGGGAAACGTCCCAGACAGAGAGGAACATCTTCAGGGAGAATCTGTCTGTGCTTAACGGCAACAGCGATGATGCTCCTACAGTTTGTAACTCATTAGCTGATAGCAGCCAACCAGTGTCTGCCTTCTCATTTCTCAACTTTTGACCAACGTTTTACAGCTGGGACTGTATCAGTTAATCCAATGATGTCATCATGTATATCCTTTCAGAAATCTATTTATTTTTTAAGCTACGATTTAGATCTGTACGGTTTTAACTATATAAACGAAGCAAATAATGGTTGGGTGTTTAAACCTATATGGTGCCTCATTGGAAGTTGTCTTTAACATGTAGAGATCGGGTTGTGAGATTTGAGATTAAAGAATCTAATAATTGTAACATGTCAGATTATGGATGTGTACGATCCACAGTTGGTACAAGAAAGCCCTGACATGTATTTAGACTGTTTGCTGTTTGGCTGAGGTCTGATTTCCCTAAAGTATTACCCTGAGAATGGTTGTTTTTGAATTACAGGATATGATCGACAGTTGCTTTACCTCAGGATTCTTTTTAGCCAACTGAAACAACTCGTAGACCTCCGCAGCACGTCCTACACCTCCGAGGGAGAACCCCCCCCTCTATTTGTGATTTGCACTACTGTTGCTTTTCTTACAGACTCTACAAGTGAGAGGTGTATACCCTTGGGTTTTTTTGGTACTAAGCTGTTGTTTTAATGTGAGTGCTAGTTTACAAATTATTTATTCTGTCTGCCCATTATTGTTCAAAGCATATCTATGAGAGTGGTCGAAGAGTGCATGTCTCTGATTTAAAGCTGTTTGGAGAACTAATGGAGGAATACAATATTGAGATTGTGTGTGCATAGGCGATGTGTGAAATTATGTGTGTGTGGGGGGGAGACAACAAACAATCAGCATAATGCAAATATATCCGGTTGCTCATGTAACCAAATAAAGGCAGATTATGTTCACTATTACACCATTGTCAATTCTGCTGCTTACTGAGCTGTGGGACGTAGTACAGGCTACATGCACAGAGGATGAATACTATTTAAGCTGCTGATGCTTTCAGTGGACACAAACTATCCTGAAAACTAATAAAACATGCTGTATTTTTGTTACAGCGCTAACGACTACATAAAGGAGTCTTGTCTTAACAGAACTCTACTTGGCATCACTTTCAGCAGCACTTCACTCCAATGCCAGATGATTTGGAAGATTACATAAAATATGAATCACTTCAACATTTCCCATTTTGTTCGCTACAGTGTGCTGGTCTCCAGGAACAAGCATGGCCGACAAGCTTACGCCACACATACATGCACCTTTTTATAAAAATGTTGAGGGAGTAAACAAACGGATTCAGAAAGCATTTCCTCGAGGCTGTTTTTATGTTCTAGAGAACTGAGCCGAGTGTGACGTCGGAGCCGCAAACTGCAGCACTGCACTCTCTCACAGCTCTATAATTAGCCAAGAGTCTAATCTGAGGTTGGACATCGGTGGTAAGGCTCATGATATATCTCTGTTGCATTACCTTCAATTCACTCACCTGCAACACTACAAACATTAGAGATTCATTTAGAAAAGTGAAACTGCAAGTACACAATCATTCCTGTCCTGGTTTGTTTTCCAAGAAAACTAAAGCCTTTATATTTTCCTGAATTGTTTTAAGGATGCTTCCTGTGGTGAAGAACTTCCTTTGTGAAAGGGAACACTACATCAGACAAGTTTCCAGTTGAAAGTAAACAGAAAGAAGAGTTATTGTTAAAGTGCGTAGCTTTATTTATTTTTGCGAGCACTTTGGATCATCACACTTTCCTTGTGATTAGCACCAATGGAAATGTCCACGCATCGACACACGCATGTAAAGAGAATGATTCCTCTCTATAAAGTGCAAGGAGTGCGTGCACGCACACACACACACAGAAACACACACACATCAATACTGCACAGAAAACCACAGTGGCTGGGCCATGGAAAGGCGGATGTGCTTATGGTCTCGACAAATGGTACATGGCAAGGTGGGGATGAGGCTTTTATGCCTGAAAATCTGTAAACCTCCCTACAAATAGTCCCCTCCCCCCCGACCCGAGGGTGATATTTGAGGCTTTCAAAGAGGAGCCACTGTGCCAGTGATGTCAGCACTGATAGCAGAGGGGCAAAAGGTCAGGATGGGGAAAGAGGTCACGGTCATGTGGAGCCCGGACGCCCTCTGGTCTGCAGACTACTGAAGTGCGCCTCCCTCAGGACTCTGTTGATGTGGTCGTAGGAGACACTACTGCTGTCGCCATGGATACGGTGCTGCAAGGAACCTGCAGAATCTCCAGGCTTTGGGCTGAGGGAGTTGTGGGTGATGCAGTTGTTCTGGCTGTGTATGCAGGGCCTGGTGGTGACCACTATTGCTCTCTCTGGACTACTGATCCCATTACTGCTGTCGCTGCTGGAAGACTGCAAACAGAGAGCAGAGATGAGCTCTGAAGTGAAGCTTCATGGATGGATGGATGCAAATGATAAATAAAACATGCTAGGCAGTTATGACTGTGGTGCATTGCATATGCATTGTAGAGTCAAGTGTATTTCAATGCATGATGCCTGGTTGCAGGTTTTTTTCATAAATGTCAATTGGTTCTACATTATAAGCTTATAATAAAAACAAAACTACTTTAGCAGAATCCTTTCTCCTTTCATCACAGAATCAAAAGACATCTTGGTAAACCTACAGTACGTCCGTGTGATGCTCTTAAGATAAATGTCAAGATCAAAATCAGTCTCACCTCTGAATCTAAATCTGACACAAGCAGGCTTGGACCCCCTCCTGACTTTTTGGCCTGAGGACTGAGCTGCTGGTCCTCCTCACTATCACAGCTACGGTGCCGTTTCCTGTGCAAAACAGAAAAGAGTATTTTCCCTCAGAAACATGAGAACATAAGGGAAAGAGACCGTAAGAAAGAAAGAAAGTGTGCAGGCAGGGTGGGAGAGAGATTGGGCGGAGAAAGACAGAACATGAAGGGAGACCAAAAATAGCATCTCACACTCAGGCAGTTATATGACTAGACTTGAGGCGGTCCTATTATGAGAGCACATTGATTAGCATACCTTCAGTTTGGTCTAAATAGAAACTAAAAGTGAGGATGTAACATTTACATTGTACAGTTAGACTAAATATCAAGGATGATGTCCTGGATTCTGGTTATTGTAATATTTGACTTAGCTACTTTGTTTCATTACAATGAAGATACACTTTAATATTAACATTATGTGGTAGGATCAGCCAATTAAAAACAAATACATGTCAAATATCCCTTACCTGCTGTCAGTCAGCATTTCTGCAGTCCTGGTGGTGTTGGGTTTTTGGCAATGAGAAAGCTTGTGAGCTGGACTGGGTGATCTTATTCTGAAGCTTTGGCTTTGTTACCCCACGACCATCAGTGTGGCTCAGCTCAGTGTCATCACATCAGAAAGATTTAAGCTATCCAAATGGCTGAAGCACAAACCTGTGCTGCGGGTTATTTCAGACCTGTCACTGCTTCACAAGTCCAGTCCGCCCTGTCTGCTCCTCGGTGTTAGTACAAACTGCTTCCAGGCGTCTGAACACTAACCAGCTGACGAAGACAGCTATCTAATATCTATTCTCGTTAAACTCGGGGAAGCTAGCCCACTCTCACTGCTAACCTCACAACGTTAATCAGCAAATTGTTAAGCTAACTTCTTTAGCTAACTACTGCTGCACTGTGCTAACTCAAAGTTCTTCCGCTTACGTATTCCGTCCACTTGCACGTTAACCGTCATTAACTGTTCCCTGGACTCGCAAGAAACAAAATTAAGTTACCGGTAAGTGAACATTAACATTATTTTAATGATGTCCGTCGTAGAATAAAGCGTACTCCTGCTCCTTCAGGTATTCCATCGTAGTAGGCTTCTCCTTTTGCGGGTAAGTCGCAGCGACTGAAAGGCTCCGCCCACCTGTTTACCGGACGTCATCAGAAAAAAACGGGCGTTCAAGTGGTAAAGGAATAATCAGGAAAAAAGAGCTTTCGGTAGGGAAATTTCCCGTAAAGGCTCCTACAAGTGGGTACAACAACTTATGTGTAGGAAGTTTTTGGTGCTCGCAATTGCTGAATTGACATACCAGAATTTATTATGGCAAAAAAAAAAAAAAAGGCAAATTGTGACTTGATTATTAAGAGTTCTCATGTCGTGTTGTCGTGAGCTCTTATAATTTGTTTGTTGTAAAAGTAGAGTGGTGTAGGTTCCTTAAGGAAAATAAATGTAACACATCCTCTCCTTGGCTTCAAATATTTCCCTATTTTAAACGACTATAAAGTTAGAGGAACGAGTTGAAATCCGGGAATTACGAGCATTCGAGGGGTACCTGAACGTTGCGTATGTGCTGAGTGGAAACGGTTTCCGGTGTCAACATAATGGTGAAAAAAACACAGTGAACTACTTGTCTTGTTCGTTGGTACTTATTGTAAAATTTTAGAATATTGACATTTCTCAAGTAGACCTATCATTTACCTTTATCGACAGGTAGGCTGTCTGTCTATTATACAATTAACTTAACAGAAATACCATGCCATATCTGTAAGTTTTATGAGGCTTTTATTGGTTTTAGTCAATTAAGATTGTAGAAAATAGACATTTTACATGCTGTATATTATTAGAAGTTTTGTGAATATTAAACTATTTGTTTGTTTAGCTGCTGTTAGTAAGTGAGTTAGCATGGATAATGTGCAGAGTTAGGTTTTTATATACATTTAAGTGTAAGATATACAGTACATTTTACACATGTGGTTTGATGACATCTGTGCTGTTTTTCATTACCTCAGTTTAGTTTGTAAGAAGATCTATGTTTAAGAGCCTGTATTCATTTATACTTAATTAAACTCTTAGTGAATTCATGTCCCTCAGTAAACTTAAGGACAACGCAACCTTTTCGGTCTAAGAGTCTGCTCTGAGCATGTTTGATTAGTTTGACTAGCTGGATAAACTGCTTCAAGCCGAAGAGGGAGGCCAGCATAAAATCAGTATATTGAAAACGTCCACTTGTCTTAATCTGTTTCCATGTTAATTCTTTAGGTCTTTCTTGCAGATGAAGGTGATCCAGCACTCTGTGGTGACCCTGCAAACAGCTTTGATCTCTAATCGTCAGGACCTGGCAGAAATTTACAGCAAGTACACTGAGCAAGAGCGGTGTCTTCTGGAGGAAGGATTTCACTCCAGGCAGCCGGGGTCACTTTTCCTGCCCATCACGGTGCATTCTGACGCTGACTGGATCCCTGCTCACCCTGAGGAGCCTCAAGACTTCGAGAGCTTCTTCAGAGACCCTTACCGCAAGACCCCTGATGCCAGCCACAATACTATTTATATTCAAACCATAGGTGAATAGAGAAACTATATACACACTACAGCATTTCCAACTGACAGGATTTTCTACACCATGTTTCTTGTAGGTTCCTTCGGTGAGGTGGGGGCCCAGACAGACCAGTTTGTGGAGTGGCTCAGAGAATACGGCCAAGCCTTCTTCTATGGACTTTCTGTCACGCTGCTGCCGGCGGTTACTGTGGCTGAAACAGGATGTTCTTTCAGGGTTAACAGTAACTCAAACAACCTCCAGATCCTCACTGGTTAGTGAGCACCAGTTGTATTGTATAATCTCCTGGCAGGTTTTGCCACTTTTACTGTAAGAAATGTATAATAATAAGTGGTAAATGTGGTGAACATTGTCTTGAAAATGCATATTATTGTTTTCTCCTGGATTGAAGGTGACCTGCTAAGATTTCTGGAGAAAAAGAAACCAAAAGACGCTTTTTGTATCGTTGGATTAACAATGATAGACCTCTACCCCAGTGACTCTTGGAACTTTGTCTTTGGGGAGGCTTCACTCAGTATGGGTAAGATTTAACACAAATCCTTAGCTAAGTATCTTAATATACTCTAAATAGACTGCTAAATTACACTGCTTATTACCAGGAAACAACTACTTCAGTCATTACCATGTGAAGCCTTTGGCATGCAATGTGGTTGAACTGCCACTAGATGGTGCAAAAGTAGTTTTGTTGGCAATATTCTCATTCTCTTGGTTCTCCATTGTGATTGCAGGAATGGGCGTTTTTAGCTTTGCCAGGTATGATGACAACTTCTACACCAGCACTTATGCCGGGATGCTCAAAAAAAGACTTCAGCCAAAGCAGGGGGACTACTCAGTGTTTGACGGTTATTACACTCCCCCCATCAGTAGCACGCTGCTGCTTCGATCCTGCAAGGTCTCTGGCAAACATGCTCCTCTGATTACGAACTTTCTGCACCCTGAACCTTTGAATGATTTTTTTCAAAGGTCCACAAACCCTTTAATCAATACTGCTGATAAAAAAAAAAATACTGCTTGTTGTTTTTTGTCTGTGTGTGTTTGCCTTTTTTTTATGGTCATCAGCAAACCCCTCGTGTTACTTTCTTTCCAGACCATGACCCATGAAATTGGCCACATGTTTGGGATAAAGCATTGCCAGTGGTTGAACTGTGCATGCAGGGCTCCAACCACCTGGAGGAGTCTGATCGTCGACCCCTGGATCTCTGTCCAGTCTGCCTTCGCAAGCTACAAGCCTCAATCAGCTTCAAAATAGCTGAAAGATACCAGGTACAAATCAGTGTTTCCCCTACCATTATATTAGGAGGGCTGCTTACACCCCTTGAAGGTCAAGTTAATTTTTTATTTTATTTTTAATTTTTAACTTTTTTAACTTTTTTGAGGCTGTTTGTGCCTTTATTGTAGGAATATGATAGTGGATAGAGTCAGAAATCGGGGAAATAATTCATTTAAGGATACCTTTCCAATAGAACAGGACAGCTGTCTTTAAAAGTAACACATGAACACCAAGATTCCTTCAAGTGTTTGTGTCGGCGTCTATTGTAGAGTTCTGCTTGGGTGTTACAATAAAAACAGCGTACTCGTGAAATACAAGTTCCTTTGGTTGCACAACTACTTGGTCCTGGGTCAGGGAGTTCAGTCACACACATGCCAGAGTAATCCTGATTATTTCAACCCACTACACAGAGAATTTTCACACAGCAAGTTCAGTTTTCGGTTAGGTTTGGAGCTAATACATTCATACTGACAGAAATATTTCACAACCAGATTCATTAAAAATAAAAATAAATTATTTTAGAGAACTCATCTCTAAACTTTACTCTGCACATCATGAGGGAAACAAAAATATGTTTCCCTCATTTTTTAATAAATTCATACATTCCCAGCTGATTTCCATGTTTTATTTGAGATGTCAAAAATATGAACCAGGATATTTCTCTGAACATAACTGATGATGTACCTCTATATCTATATGAAATAGGTCTTAATTTGTCAGGATGGAAAATGGAATAAAAAAACAGAAGTGTTTCACTACAATAGATTTGATTTTGACCTTCATAATCAACATATAAGTTTCAGAAGTGACCCTAACTTTCTTTTTTTTTCAGAACTTCTCTTGCTAGAACAAGTAACATAACAAAAGAAAAAAAAAGATAAATACTTAAAAAAAGATAAAGCCTTATTAGAGGGAGGAAAGAGACAGAAGTAGTCATGTAATCATTTTTCTGTTTAACAGGCTTTGCTGCACTGGGTGGAGGACGATGACAGTCAGACATCCTGTCAGCCTGTTTTCCACCTTTCCAAACCCACCGAAGCTTTTCAAACATACAGACTGTGGCTCCGCAGGTGCCTCGACATACTGAAGAGTACATGACCTGTAGACGTAAGTCGAGATAAGATCAGTGAAGCAGCTCTTATCAACTCTTGCTGAAGTTTCCCTGCAAGACATTTTTCGGTTTCCTGATCACAAAGTTCACTCTGATTTGTTTACAACTATATTGGTGGTCGTGGCTCAGTAGTAGTTTGTCTCTTAACTGGAAGGTTGGGGGTTCAATCCCAAGCTCCTGCACATGGGCGGTTCTAGGCAGGGGCCAACAGGGGCCAGTGAGCTTGGTCCCCCCTGTGGCCACCCCTCCAAAAGGAAGAGCCCCCCTCATAACAGTGTAGAGGCCATTTTAATTATGGTGACTTTAGTTTCAGAAGTATGGTTTAAGTTTGTGTTAACAGAGTATATGTTTTGTGTTGTAAGAAATAAGTATTAATTTATGCGAAGTACTTGATTTGACATTATGGTGAATAATGGATTTATTTGGGCATATTTTGGCAGGTATTTTGTGTTATGGGTGGAGCCGAGTTAATTAATTTGGGTCTGATACACAGGTGGTGAGATAGTAGATCGTTTTTTGTTTGTGGACTGTGGTGGAGGTTTAGGAGCCACGCAGCAAATGTTTTTTGATCGTGACCTTTTGTTATGAGTTTTGATATATTCATTTTGGATCTGTTCTGGAAACAAGTGGAATTACGAATAAAATAAGAAATCAAGTGAAACAACGGATCTGTGAGTATATTTAAGTGGACAGGCATCAGGAACGAACAGGTTGGCTCCTATGACACAAGTGACAATTTTTATATGACACACAAGAAGAAATTGCCACTACACATAGTATGTGACTCAACAACCAGACTCACAATCTAGTATTAAATATTGTTACAGAAACAAATATAAATCATGGTATTTAATGATGTGTGCTATTATTTGGCATAATATTTATATATATTTTACAGTGATCATCTTTGTCTATTTTTCACCTGGGTTTAATGTTCCCCTCTGACAAAACAACTGGCCCCTGTTTGGCCCCCTCAGTAAAAGTGGTCTAGAACAGGGGTTTCCAAACTTTTCATCCCGCGACCCCCAAAATAACGACGCAAGAGACCGGGGACCCCCTCTGTCCCTGGAAGTGGTTAAAGCTTAACACTGTACACAGCAGCACGCACTACTGGGCCGATCCAAACACTGACATTAGAACAACTATTAACAAATACAGCAGCCTTAAACTAAGTGAACAACATTTTTGTATGTGATTTCACAATAATGGGTAAAATGTGTCATTTCCAGTTTGCATTTGTTTTTGGAATGCAACTCGCGACCCCCCAGGAGGTCCCGACGCCCACTTTGGGAACCACTGGTCTAGAACCACCACTGCTCCTGTCACATGTCCCATGTGTCCTTGGGCAAGACACTTACTCACACTGCTTCGTCGCCCGTCGGTGGTGTATGACTGTGTATTAATGGGATTAGCTAATACTGATGGTCACTACAGAGCAGCCTCTACCATCAGTGTGTGAATGTGTAGGTGTGACCTGCGGGGTGAAAGCACCTTGAGTAGTCAGTAGACTAGAAAAGCACTTTACAAGCTCAAGTCCATTTACGGTATTTGTTGGAGCTATTTAATTGTTGTTAGAATTAGTTTTGGTATTTAGTTTACTCATATTTGGGTGTTGTTGCTTATATAATTATTCTACACGTTTTCTTTATTTAGAATAGATTTTGGGTAATATTTTCTTTTGCTAGTTATTTGTTAAGTAAATTTAGTTTTGCATTAGTATTTTTGTTAGATGTTTGGGTAACACTGTGGGCACCAGAGGTTATTTAGGTAAGAGGCAGGTAGAGGACCAGCATGCACCAGGGTGGGCCTATGGTTTTATACCAGGGCAAGAGAGGCAGCAGGAGCGACGATGTTCTTTGTTCTTTTGTTTGCTTTCTTTAAATAAACCACCAAAAAACCGCAGATCTCTTGCATGGACATTAGACTTCTTTTACCTGCGTACATCACATCCCCATGGTGCATCAGTGGTCATTTGATTATGTTTGATATTAGCTTATTTAGATTTTTTTTCTTTTTGGACAAATAGCCACTACAGTACTATTTACCATATTTGGTTTAGTAGAAATGGCTTCCTGTAGCAATAACTGCGAGAGACTCTTTAAAGTCAGACTGTCATATTTTTAGAGTTTTATGTTTTTGAAAACCCAAGAAGCAGCAGTGCAGACCGGTTCTTTGTGTTTCCAGGTGAAATGTTTCATTTTAGATTTTATTATCTGAAAGAAAGATGCAATATGAGCATTAAAAATGTTTTGATGTGAGGTCACAGTCCATCCATCCTTTAGCCATACTGCTTATCCCCCTGTTCAGGGTCACAGGGACGATCCAGTGTGAGCTGCGTTTGTCTGTATTGTTGAACCTTTTCCATCATTGGAGCTAAATGATAGAAATACAAGAGCAGTCAATGAAGTTTGAGGTTTATATATATATAAAAAAATTACACATTATTTAAACTTTCTAATCACTTGTTTTATTGTGATTGAACACATTTTCATTACAAAAATAGTTTCCAGTCTGACATTTCATATCAAATAATAAAGCAGTGTCAGCTTTGAAATAGTTTCATATAAAAAAAAGAAAGAAAAAAAAACTTCTAGTCACGTGTGATCACCTGAGCTCTTTCTATAACACATGTTACAGAATTAGTGCAATTTGTTAGTTTCTGCAGCTTCATTTGCATCACAGTTTGATGATTATTATTATTATTGCATTGATCCCCAGCAGGTAATCAGGTGAAGCATCAGTATGATGTAATGGAATAACTTGTGGTCCATTGAGAACATGTCCATACTAACCCAGCTGTAACTAACTCTGTCCCTAAAAAAGGTATTTATTGTAATTTACAGTAGAAAAACATTGTGTGGTACATCAGAGTATGTAAGGCAAACTTACTACATACATACAGTATTGTGACCTTAACATTCTCAATATTGCTCTTCATAGCAGATTATTATTGGTCTTTCTCTTCTTTGTATTTATGCCACTTGAACACTGTCCAGCAGTCATCTTTTGCCTTTTACCCTTAAACGGCGACTGTAGTAACCTTCACACCACATTAACAGCTCAAGCAAAACTAATAACCTCCTGGTCGTGGATCGAGATGGCCTCTACTTCAGCACAGTCACTTCTTATGTTGGGTGGCTATGATGCCCCCTTCTCAAGCGAGTCCTTGTTTGTGTCATGTTTGTCTTCAAGGCGTTTTGATTTTCTCCCACAGAGTATTCCTCTTTTAGCTGGCCTTACCAAACCGAGGAACACTGCGCTGATCGCCATGCCGACAGCACAGGAGTAGAAAGCTGATCCGTAGTTCTGAGTCAGATCCACCAACACACCTGCAGGAAGAGTTAAGAGTAGGATTGAAGCAGCACTCCGATCATTTCAAATGTTAATTTTACTTTATTTGTTACTAAGGGAAGTAGAGTTCAGTTTAAACTGAAAATAACACTTATGATGTCATAGTGATGTGATCGAGGTTATTTTCTCCCCTATGTAGAGCTACGTAAAGAATATCTATAGATTTTTTCACAGGCTGCGTAGTGTATCAGATTTATTTATAAAGATTGTCTCATGAAAAAGCAGTACCCATTGACATTATGGGAAATGTAGGATTCTGTTCGAGTTTTCATTTCTTATTTTGTAAGATTTTATGGCCATTTTTTACTTTTGACCAGAGTTAGCCAAAATGCTAATTTTCATGGCTAGTCCCTTTGACAGAAGTGCTTTGGCGTTATAGAATTAAATATAACCCATTAACATACATTCAGTAGTTTAGAACATTACAGACAAATACAAAACAGTTTGGGTAACGAGAACAAATAATATCCAACAGGACATGATACAGTTAAAGTGGGTAGCTACAGCTACATTGTTGCTTCTCAATAAACCATTTTTAACATTGTATTAACTGAATGATGGGATGTTGACTCTCTAATTGATTGCTGTATTAAATTCCACTCATGATGCTCTGAAGGAAAAAACATCCTGGCTAAATGTGGTTTTCCTGAGTGGGATTGTGCAGGTTTCCCAAACTTAACAGACTGTACTTCTACTGAGTACAGTAGAAGTACTGAGTGGCTGTCTGTCTACAGTTTTGAGTGTTTTTTAATATAATGATTCCAGTGTTTTTAGGGCTGTGGAGTGTGTATTTGACCAACATAACAAACAAAAGGTGATACAAGAGAGAATCATTGAGTGTCCTTCATTCGATGGGATAAAAAGATAGATAAGAAATGTGAGGAGGAGAGAGTTTACATCTAAACCTGTAAGCATGTTGTCTGATTGCTATCATTGCTGTATGGCCTGCTCAGTACATGGTAAAAAAATCTGTTAGTAGCCGCTCGGCTAGCAGCCCCTACTGATAGCTGTGTACACTAAAGAGAACAGCAGACAAAAGACTTGTCTTATTTCTTTTTACAATTTGTATTATTTTGACTTTTACATTTAAAATAGTGACAGTGAAACAATGATATTAACATTGTGTTTTTTTAATTATATCTGCATAAGTTATTCCTGTGTAGGCTACTGTTTCAGAGAAGAAGAAAGTAAGACTAGATTACATAACTAAAGCTTTAATCCCATCCACCCTCAAACAGCATCATTCCCTGTCAGGTTTAAGTCTCAGTCATTCTTTATCCCAATCTTACATTTGATCTTTTTAGCTTTGATTTGTACAAGGCACACAATCATTTGCTTCCCAACAGTATTCAGAGGTTTGAAACTAGAGAGAGCCGGTATGAACTAAGGGGAACAGGTGTGTATAAAAAACCAAAAGTAAGGACAAACATAAAGAACAGGTGTATTTGGGTAAAAGGGCTTAACTTGTGGAATTAAGAATGTGTAGTTCACTTTCCAGATTTAAATTGTTGTTTAAAAAAATGGTGTTTAACAAATATAAAAGGTCGGTTTGATTATTTTTTGAGAGTGTGACTTCTGTTTTGTTTTTTTCTGTGTGTCATTTGTTTTGTTTTGTTGTAACCAAACTAGTAGTGTCTTAAATAATGAGATTTGTAACAAGGGTAGGTGTAATAAGCTAAAGCTTCAGCCTACACCTTTTTGTTCAAAATGTTTTTTCTTGTGACCGAAATAAATGATTACTACTACTATTTACTGTACTTACATTTTAACTGCATTAAATCAATGAAATGTTATCACCGAGAATATACCATCCTTGTGTTTTCCAAAGAGGAGTTATGAAGATGTGGTGAAGTGAAACCATGGGCAGTATTTACAGTAAACTTCTCACTACAAGATAAGACTTACCTCCGAGTGGGGGTCCAGCCAGCCCAGCAAAACTTTGTATAAACACATAAACTCCAGCAGCTGAAGACATCCTCTCTATGCCAACCACATCATCTTCAGCCAGCATGGGGATGTGTGTGCAAGCCAGGGTTCCCATAAAGAACCCGTACACCGCACAGCACACAGCCAGGCCGTAGAACTCCGTAGCAAACGTGAATCCCACCAGATCGGCAGCCATCAAAACCACACACACCAGAATCACGAGCAGTTTCTTGTTCACGATGTGCCTCCGCGACAGGATCCACCCGATGGTGAATCGGCCAAAGACTTCGGCCGCGGCCATGATGGAGAGCATGTAGGTCGCGTGCTCCCGCTCCACTCCTCGACTCACGCACAGCTCGATGACATAGAGATGGGGGGCGAAGAAGCCGAGCGTGGCGAACAGTCCGAACAGAGAATAAAAGATGAAGCTGCACTCTTTGAGGATGGAGAAATCCAAAAGTTTTGTGTTTTTTAAAGAACCATCACCTGGTTCCTTTTCCTCTTTCACGACTTGTTTCTCAGCATTTCTCTGGTTTGTCTTCTCTGTTTCCGACTCTTTCATCTCTCCTGTGTTGTTTTC